ATCTGTGAGGATGGACTGCTCAAGTTTTGTTGAATTTTCTTAGGAGAGACTTAGCATTTTGAACCTATAGATATTGGAATCTTTATCTGTATTTGGAATATTTCAGGGGATTTTTCCATTTTCTGCTCTTCATTTTTTTTTACCATAAATGAACACTATTTTAGGCAGCTATTGGATCAGAAAGTCCTTGGTGGAAAAGGTTCTTGTGTTAATGCTTGCAGAATTTTCTCTACAGGGCAAGCCAGGAGTTTGCTCATAGTGTTGAGTCTGATTGCCACCTTAACATAACTAAAATCACTTCTACCCTCTGCAACCAGACATATTAAAGGGGGGAGTTATGGGGTGGTGGCCATCCACAGTACTTTTCTTTTGTGCTTGGCAGTGAAGCCCATTTTTTTTGTTTCTGTTCTACACTGTAAGATGCCTTTTGAAACTTTAAGATGCTGCTCTTGGTATCTTCTATGGTTGCCATTTGGAAGATATTTAACTTTTTAATGGAAGCATTACAATCTTTCAAGCAAAACCTCAGTGTTGACACCTAAGGGGTCGTGCTGTTTGTTTCTTCTGAAATAAGTGAGAAGATTCCGAGTTTATTCCAATCACATCCCAAAAGATCTGTGAGTTTTACAGTTTTTATTCAGCCTTTAGAGAAATCATTACAGATCAGTATTGTAACCTTGTCAGGTGCTTTGTGTATTTAGTTGTGGTTTCCTTTGCTTCCTCAGGACAAGACCTTGTTTTTTCCTTGTATGCTGTCATGCAACTGATACACTGCTGAGCCAGTAATAATCCCAAATACTCTAGATGTTGTCTCACTGTTGATGTTTACTTTCAGTCTGCACAACACGAGCACTGACAGGTATCCTCCATGCTTCCCTCATTTTTAAATTTCTCTTAAAATTTCAGCTGAACAAGGAGAATGAACCATATGTGAGTCTAGTTAAGGACCTGAGCCAAATGGAGGCTTAGATCCAGCAAGACAAATGCTGAATGCACACTGCCTTGTAGAATTAATGTTCATTGTGTATTTAGACAACTTAAGTGGCTGGTTATGATGGTGAAGATGCACAATGAATTAGGCAAAATGAAATATTCTTTGATGCTCATTGAGCAGCAGAGCGAGGAACACTGCATGACCCCTACCAAGTAGAGCTGAAGATACATTATTTGAGCTAACATGCATCTCTGATCCTAAGTATTTTTTGTTTGTGTTTATGAAAAAAAAGGATCCAGTGCCCGTTGTGGGTTGCTTCCAACCAACATATTAGATAGACTGAGAATCTTTTAGTAATAAACAGCTTAGTATGGTGTGTTGGCAAAAGAGAAGACCTGAGAGAGAGTTCATATTAAAATTTAAAGCCTTAAAAAGTAGAGTGGGGAAATGGTTTGAAAAGAAATGAACAGAAGTCACCATCTAGCATACTCTAAAGACAGTGAAAGGATTACTGTTGCCATTTCATCCTTTGTGTGTGGGGTGACAATGGTGATTTATTTCTGTGAGATTTCTGAGCAACAAAACCTGACAATTGGCAATCACTAAAGAGGTGGGCTGCTGTTTTTAACGAGTGCCTTCTGCATCGCAGCTTCTGTGGAGAAACCAGAACCTACAGAGCCTCATGGTGTGTCAGCAAATCTCAGCCTGTGCACAGACGTGTGCCTGAGTGCACACATGCATCTCTTTTCTTGATTTCTTTTGAAAAGGAACACTGCATAAACAAAGCTCATGGTAGAAATTAGAGCAAAGCTAAATTATATTTAAAGCGTGAACTTGGGAATCTCTGTGCTGGGTTTTGTGCAGAATACTAATGCTCCAGTTTCCTTCTTGTTTCTGAGTGCCTCCTTCTAACCTTGTCACTGGAAATTCTTTTGAGTCCCAGAAGCTATAGGAGCTGATGTGGGTGCTGGAAAGACAGCAGGCAGCACATGAAGAAAATGGGACACAACTTCCCAAGCCTTGTTTTCTGAGGACTCAGAAGAATGAACTAAGTTTGTCAACAGAGGTGAAGGGTATTGGGCAGCATATGGGAGTCAAGGTGGTTTCTGTTAGAACAGAATCTGTGTTGCATCACAACAAGTCCCTTGTAGTTGCTGGGTGCTTACAGGTCACTGTGACAGCTGCCTGAAGTCTGTGGTCTGTAGCATCAAGCAGTATGAGGAGGGAAGGGGTGCCCTTGTTGGCAGTGGAATGATGGAGAATTAAGTTGTCTCACCTTACTTCTACACTTCTCCCTCTGATGGCAGCAACCTCCCTTTACTTATCTGGATACAAATGCAACCTGGCAGACCACAACAAGGTCTAGATTAGTGATTCTTTCAGCCTTCTCAACAAACACTTTATTCTGTGTCTCTCTTCCCCCCTCTCAGTGACTTTGGGCAAGTTGTCTGCAATTGGTATTTCTATATCCTTATTAAGTAAGATGTCTTTTCACTCTTCTGGGAATGATCCTGAACTTTGTTCCCCTCTTGTGAGGTGTATCCAGTAGAGTACTATGTTTTTGTTACAGCTGTGAGCCCTTACAGCTGCTTGGAGTTTGCAGAGTCAGAGTAAGCAGCTCCTCAGGGAAATGCTGCTCAGTGCCTGTGAGCAAATTTAGAACTTTGTCCTGGACACATACAACCTTCTCTCTTCTGGCTAGGGGACATTCCTCTGGGGGAAATAGATCTTGTATTGTACCTTGTGTTCTTTGTTAACTTGCATGTTTACAGATAGTCATCTATGAGAGGGCAGGTCAAACAGCCTGTTTGTCTATGGCTGCTGTCTCTGGACAGTAACCAGCTGACCCACTGGTCACACTGGTGTCACCACTCCCACCTTCTTCTGGTGGAATGTCTCGCACGATGAAGGTGACACTTCAGAGTCTGATATGTATTTCCATGCCAGCTTTAGTGGGGTTGTGTCAGATGTGACAAGCTGAGGCTGTGGGCTTGATTGTGAATGACTAGGTAGTGCTGTAGTTTCTTGCCCTTTTCCTGCTCAATTTTCCTGATTTTTGGAGGTACAGAGACTGACTGCCTCGATGAGGCCAGGACTTCAAAAGGCAAAACTCCTATCAATGCTGACAGAACCAAGAATTTTCTCCTCTGCCTAGCATTAATATTGGTTGGCAGAACTTGCTTTGAATTTTTAAATGTATTTAATGCAGCATAGCTTGTTTGGGGTGGAGATGGATGGACCCACATGAAAAAGGACCTAGGAGTTCCATACTTCAGCTGTAATAACTGAAGGGAGGAAAGTGTAGAAAGTAATTTGCAAAGCTACACTTGAAAATCATTCTAGCATAACATCATTACAATTATCTGTCAAAAGATTTAGTTCAATTACTTTTTTTTAAGCTCTCTTGTCAGGATGGCCTCGCTTGTTTCAGGATTTTGTTACTCCAAGGAGAGGTTAAGGAAGAATGAATGCTAATTCTGTCATTAACCACTGTCAGACACCCTTCAGCACATATTATTCCTTGAAAATGCCTTAGCATCATTACTGTGAGGAATCAATAGGCATAAAGTGCCCATGGGAACATAGAGTTCAGGAAGAGGAAAAAAAAAAATCCACTGCCTGTTTGTAGCTTATAGTACAGTAAGGTGAGAGGAAGAGAACTTCAGTTCCAAGCGGTAATTTTGAAATAACTGAATGGCAACATAATTCCTGTCGTGTAAAATATCCTTACATATTCTTCACACAACAGTAGGCTAGTAGTAAAATTACAAGGGAAGGATATTTGATGTAATAAACTCAAACTGAATAAGCTTCGGTGAACTGCAGGACATTGCACCCTCTTTCTGCTCTATCCTGTTGGGTGATGGGGGTCTGGGTTGGTCCCAAAGTTGAGGGTTTGGGACCTCTGAGTGGGCAGATGTGGTACAGAGTTTAAGGAATTATTCCATTTCGTTGGCCTTGGTTTTGACTCCTAATGCAGGTAGTTTTGTGCATCTGTTTAAAAGAAACTGCTATAGAATGTTTGCTGAATCTTTTGGTGCAAATAATAATTTCAGATGACTGCCCACTTTATCTGAGAATAAGGGTCCTGATAAAAACTCTGTATCTGTTATGGAGATGAATTCCTGGAGTCTAAATATATCAAGCCACTTCAAGGCCTGTGACTTCAAGCTAAGCATATATTTGGGGACTCTAGCTTATAATTAATCATCTCTCTTTGAGAGAGAGCAAGAGAAAGTTGGGCTTTGCTGAGTTCAGATTCAATCTACCTGTTTTTAAATGCAGAGAAGGAGCCTCAGTTTGCTCTTGCTATTTTATCTTGAATGGCTTCGTATTTGTAAATGAAAACAAAATTAGTTCTGGTAATTATAGCAAATTAAAAATAGAATCTTAAACTAGATTTTTCCCTTTTTTTTTCTTTATTTTTTAAAAGTTATGTAATATAAAGTGAGTAGTAAAGTTCACGGGAGAGACTAATTTTGTCTTTTAAATGAGAATCCCGAGACCTAGATTCCTTGATTTCTGAATTTTGTTCACCTTCTTTTACCTCATTTTACAGGACAAATTTGTGGAGTAGCATTAATTCATTTTATGAGCTTTTACGAGGTCACCAGTGGGAAAATAAGGTTGCTAAGAGAGACTGCATGAATAACCTACTCTTTCCTGAACAATATGAATTTTTTAAAGTGTTTAGCCTGTTTGTATGAGACAAAGCTAATTATGACAGTCAGGATCTCCCCCTTAAATAACATACAAAAATCTGCCAGATTAGACCCATACTATTTCAAATAAACTGTTGTATCTTGTGATTTTTTTTTTTTGAGAGCAAAATTATATTTTTGAGGTGTCATTTAATAAAAAACCCAACCCTTTTGTGTGATAGAGGTAAATTGTTCATACACAGTTACTTTGAACTGTTATGATTTCCTACCTCTGCATAAACATAAACCCAGAAGTCATTACATTAAGCACTGTAATGGTTCTTTGAGAAATAGTTTAACTGTAGCTGCTGCTTTGTTGTAGTGAAGAGCTGTGATTCAGACTTACTACTATGTTTGCATTTCAGCTGACACGGAAAGTGAAAGATGAAGCCTCTTGTTCTCTTGGTTCTTGTGATCTGTACTGTAGTCAGCATGAATTTGAAGCTCGTGTCAAAGAGAAATTCTGGTAAGTCACAGAAAATTATTTTTACTTTTGGATCTGGACCTAGTACTCATGCAATCAGGCATTTTAGATGGCTGCTTTTTGGTTTGCATATATAATGCTTATTCTCTTCTGCCAAAAAAAAAAGAAAAAAGTCATAATGAGTATGGTTTGCTTACCAGATGTTTACAGGATGAATTTTCTCACCATAATGTTCTGTTGGTGTGACTTTAAGCTATTTGAAAGTGTCCTTATGTTTTCTTTTGTTAAAAAAAAAAGATTGATCTGTCTGAAACCCCACCAAGGTAATAATAACTTTGGCATTGTTTTAACATCCAGTCTTTTACTCACGCTAAGGGATTTTCTTAACTGTCGATGTGGTTTGTGGTAACTTCTAAGTCTGGATGGTTTTTTTGTATGTTGGAAAATCGCATTCCAAAAAGTCATGGTGGCCACATGTGTGATCATATATAGGATTAACTGGGAAGAGTTTTCCTGAGTAGATAATCTCTGATTCTTCTGGCAGTGGAAGGGAGGGAGTAGGAGTTGGTTTATGTTTACACCTGCTTTTGAAACCTACTAATAGTAACAGAACACTTCAAAGAGGCATTAGAGCATCTCCTTCCAGGGTAGACAGTTCACCTGGATAATGGCTCACCTGTACTTGAGCCTGAAGTGACTTCTAGTCCATGCAACTCTCCCCCCTCAAAGGGAGTGACTTCATTGGACTGTTTGCCTTTCTCAAGTAAGCTGTGAGTTTGGGAGGATTTTGGGCAGACCAGTAGGTTCCCTGCGGTTTGCACAGTGGTGTTGGTCTGCTACAGCCTGGTGTATGTGGGCAGGTAACTGACACTGGGTAAAAGTTGTACTTTTAAACTTGCACATTATCTTGTTTTTCTGCACTATTTGTGTGCTGTGCTTACATGTGTGAGGGCTCCCGTTGATCCTGCTGTCCTCGGTGTCTTCAGCCAACACTCAGCCCTGCAGGTGCAAACAGAAATTACTGATTTCAGCTGGTGTGGTCAGTTTTAAGTTTAATTTCTACATTTCTTGAGAACAAAGGAGAAAAGTTATTGGTTATAAAGAATTAGATGTCACACCCCAGGCTAAGAAGTGTTACTCTGGGAATTGCCAGATGCTGGGCCGAATTCTTTCTGCTGGGCTGGAAAATGTAAATGGAGGTTGCTAAACTGAACTAGTGTGTGGCTTTTTGTTGTGGTTATTGTGTCCAGAGCCCTATTTGCCCTGTGAGAGCAGTCATGGATAATGGGGTTTGGCTGTGGTGGAACTTGGTCTAAACTCTGCTGTGATGGTGTTCCTGTTTTTCAAAACTGCTGTCGCTGGCCTGGATGGGAACCCTTTGTGACATCCATAATCAGTATAATTGAACAGCCTTTATTCACTGATGCCACAGCACCTGGCTGCAAGGAAGAGCCTTTGCAATTCTTTTGTCAGAAGTACGCATCTGTAGAAGTGACATGCTGGTGGTCATAGCATCATTCAGCTGGTAATTCACCTTTAATTATATTTTTTTAAAAAAGCTGTGAGGCTGCTTCTTGCTAAATATAACCAACAAGTGAATAGGTGGTTCTTATTCTTTTCATTTGATATGCTGAGAATAAGATGAAGGGGAAAAATGCATGTAAAGTAAAATTATAGTTTCTCTGCAAGCACTTAATCATGTAGTTGGCTCTCACCTTCAATACTCATTCTGATTGCTGCATGGAGCAAACTATTGATTTCTTTTTTTGCTTTTTCCACTACATTGTGTGTGAAATAATTTTCTGTTTCTGTGATATCAGCACTTGGTGCAAAACTGATAATTTGACTCCTCTTCTGAAAGATCTTTAGATATGAAGGACTGTTGTTTGATTGCTTAGGGCTTCACTAAATGTTTTATGTTGCAAAGAGACAGATGCCCCACAGGCTTCTGAGCTTTAACTGTTTGTATTAGTTTAGTGGAAGATCTGGGATAGTGGATGGATGCAACCAGGGAAATGCACCAAGAAACAATGACACTGTATTGTTCCATAGGGTGACAGTAGCTGTAACATGCTGGTGCTGTGGTTCAGAGTCTTTTTTTTTTATTATTTTTTACTGATGTCTTGATGAAGGAGAATGGAAAGAGGAAATTAATGTAATGGTTATTTGTGGGCAGCTGCACTGCAGTGTAAACAGCAGGATGTCTGAAAGCAGGAAGACTGTTTTAGCTGTAGCTTAGAGCTGAGGTGGGGGGAGTGGATGAAGTGCCCAAATGATGCCCTGTGGACAGGATCTCTGCAGCAGTGTTCTGGCTGGATGTTGTAGTCTTGGCTCTTGCCGGCTATTGGTACAGGGATGTCTACACTGGTGAGCATCCTCAAAAGGGGAAGGGAAATTGTGCAGACAGTTATGTAGAGCAGTGTGAAGCAGTGCATGGAAGGTGCTGACACTGATGATAAAGACAGATTTGGGCTACTAGGACAATAAACCAGCAAAATTGGGGTATTGGTGTCTTTGCCGACTTATGCAGACTGGCATTTTTCTAAGCAATGTGTAGAATTATTGCATGAATGGCCAGAATTATGATTAGTGTCAAGTACAAGAGCAATTATGAAGCTGACTGGCATGCATGTAATATCACATAATTGAATATATCTTGTTTAAGGGGTAGGGAAAATCTAAAGAGAGCTGAGTTGAAGAGGACCTGGGGTGGAGCAATAGGAGGGTGAGGTGTTGTCTTCAGGTAATGCAAAAGCATCACTAAAACTGAGGCAGTCAAAAGGAGGGCAGAGTGTCCAGAAGGACATTATCAGTGTGACTGAAGTTGCCTAAAGAGAACAGAGGTTTGGCTAGGAAGGCATCTTCAGAGGTTGGTGTGAAAGTACTCCTTCAAAGCCGAGGAATGAAAACCGAAGGGGAGAAAGTTGAGCATGAGAAATCCAGACAGCAAGTGCAGACAGTACACAGGGGCAGGACAACAGGCAAGAGTCATTAAGGAGAGGTCAGGAGTATCTAAGATACTAAACAAAAGGTGATGAAATGGTGCTCCAGTTGGAAGCATAGAACTATAGCTTGCTGAAGAAACAGTCCTCATGGAAGGGAAAAGAAAAACAGCTGTGAAAGATTTGTCTCATGTCCTTTACTTGCCCTTTGTTATAGATTCAGGTGTCTGTATTTCCCATTTGGAGAAGACAAACAGGAATGCATGTGAGGGCTGCAAGTAGGTTTTAGAGTACCCTGCAACACTGCAAAAATGTCAGAGACACTTGTAGCAATATTAATTTGTTTGGCTGCTTCTCACTTGAGATGTGGTGCCAAAATAATTAAAATGGGTGAGCTAATTTAATTATGCTAGTCAGAGTCTTCTTTACAGGCAGTGACTTCCAGATGCTCCAGAAGAAATCTGTCATGTCTGCAGAGTAACAATTTCTGTTTGTGGTGGGAACAGAACAGTTTGCCTCAAGCAACTGTGTAAGTGTAATGTTGACTTAAGTTTCACAGGCGTTTCTTAATATTAGGAAGCGTTTTTGAAAACTGCAGGCCATCCTTTTTCCTTTAAGAAGCAGACTGAACAAACAGCTAATGCGGGGACTGCAGCCTTAGCAATATCCTAGAAAGGATATTTTGCAGATGGAGGTTATACAAATAAATTGAGGATGTGGGAGCTGCTAGGTTCCCAGCTGGCAGGTGATTTCCTTTTAATCGGATTAAGTCACTTCTTTTCCCAAGCCCATTGTATATAGTGCTTTGAATAATCATAGCAGGGAATATAAAACCAATTAAAAAATCATTGCATTTTTTAAGCAGAAGATTTTTCAGATTATAGATTCTGTTTGATTTACTAGACATAATTCCATTAGTGAATAATTGATGCCATTTATTGTTGCTGTATTTGTTTGCTAAGCTGAAATACCCTCTCTCAGCATGCTGGAGCTCCGGAGGGCATGCCAGCCTTGTGTGGAGGAGCATGGGCAGACATTCCCAAGGTTTCTGCAAGGCTGCTGGCTGCAGAGCACACAGTAGTCTTTCTGCAGGTTAACGCAGCTTAATTGGCTCAGGCCTGGCACAGGCATGGCCTCTGAGCTACAGTCATGTCCTCTCCTCCATAGCATGTTGGATGGATGTGCTGTGGGATTCCGCCCTTCCCTTCTCCTTCTGTTTATCTTGGGACCATCCAAAAGGCAGTCATGTGCCACAGGAGCAAGTGCATCTCTGATCCGCCACCTTTCACCTGCAGCTGGCTTTCCCACCAATGGCATGAGAGAGAGGGGACTTGACTTGTCACTGTGTCTTGCTGTGTATGGGCAGAGCCAAATTGTCTTGAATTCTCTCACTGATGTTGTGCCGGTGAGGATGTAGTGCTTTAACACATTCATTTAAAGCCTTCACTTTCCGACTATTTGTCACTGCTCTAGCCTGGGATTTCCATCTGCTCCCTTCAATGAAGCTCAGTCATCCTGTGTTGTTGCCTGACCATTTTGGCCATGAAAACTGTGGCATACATGGAAGTGAAGGTGTTTGTAGTTCAGAGGTGACTCACAGATTTGTGCATGGAGCAGGATATCCTAGATGAGCCTAACTTCCAAAGTCCATTGCTGCTTCTGGAGTGGGCTCCAGAGGAGGTGCTGGATGTGTGCTCACACTTGCCATTTACTTTAGTTTGCAGTTGCACCTGATGAAAAATGCATGGCTATGAGCCCTCCCATTTCTGAGATATGAGTGATGCCAGAGAGGCTTTTGGCTTTTACTTCCCGCCAATAACGTGCAGGCAGAGGAGATGAGAGCTTGGCAACACCAATCAGCGCACACTGATCTCTTACTTTTCCCAGAAGATGTTGAGTTCTTCACAGCTCCAGCAAACAAAGTCAGAATCACCGTTGTTCTAAGCTGTCATCAGTGCAGGAAAGTACAGCCTCTCCTGCATATGGTTGTGTCTGCTCACGGGTTCAGGCTGCTCTCCATCTGTTCAGTTTGGATCAGCAGGAAGTGAGGAGCCGAGCTCCTGTGCTCAGTCAGGTCTCAGGGGGCTACCAGCAAGTCAG